CAGTGTGTTGAATAAACTGCTTCCCTGCTGGCACTCAGCATTACTCCTATTAGGCTAAACCAAACTTTGTCACACTTAAAATCTGGTTAAGATTTTGTAATCCAGACTGGCTATGCAGCACTGGTCTACCGGCCGATCAAAATGACCCTAAAACATCAAATATAATCATATCTATTTGAATCTGATTGACATAATTAAACTTATATCTCATGGTGTTGTGCACACATGCTGTTGTTTTGTTTGTGTAGATTACCAGGGGATTGACTCTGGAACTGAATCGTCTGTACTCACTCTTCTGCTCACGGAACCCAGACTTTGAGAAAAATGGGAAGGTGTCCATAGTGTCTCACTCACTGGGCTGCGTCATCACCTTTGACATAATGACAGGCTGGGATCCAGTTCGCTTTCATCATCCAGAAGCCCTAGATCCAGAGGATCCACAGATCCACTGGCCTACTGATGAAAAGCACCACCTTCAGGAGCAACTGAGACTAACACGCCTCAGGTACTCCTCTGGCTTTTGTCTGAAACAGGTAAGGAGTCAGTCCCCATCTGTTTCAGCAAAAAGTGTACCTAATGGCACAAAGGAGTTTGAGGAGAGACCCTCTTTATTCTTCCACATTTTTTCATTATATAGGAAGGGAGAGAGAAATATTTAATCACTTGTGTAATATAATTGTATAATACTTGTGTATTAATACAATATAAAGGTTAACTCTTTGTTTAAGTGGCCTTCATCAGCAGGATGGCTTGGAGCCGCTCAAAATGTAGGGAACAAATATCTTTATAAGGATCAATGCTCAATAAAATATAGCTTGAGAGTTTGATAATCTCTGTCAGAGATATCACTATTGTTTTGTCATTGACTTGGAGAAACAGTTTTATTTTATTCAGTTTCAGATTTTTCACACATTTTTCGGGTCACAATTTTCACATCAGCCTTTGTTTTTTCATTATGTATTAGAATGTTTTCGGCTGAAAGTCATGTCAACTGCTTTACACTGGCATAATAAATGGTATCCGTCATCCTGTCCAGGTTGAGGGACTTAGAGGATCAGTTCCAGGGTCTGCAGACTTCGTCTTGTGTTCCAGTGCCCGCCCTGAAATTCAAGGTAAAGATGGTGTAGCAGTTTCTCCTCAAACAGAGCAGATTTGCACACACAGATCTTTATTATAAAACTTTCTGGGAATATACTCTCATGGATAGTGTTCATTCCCACTGCTTTAGTTTGTCCACCACGGCGTTCCTTCAGCCCCACAGTGCAGTCAAAAAGTATTTGCCCCCTTCCTTATTGCTTATTGTGCTCAACATGTACTATATAGGGAAAAAACTAATTTGCACACACACACCCTATGTGTCTTTCTGCAACTGATGCAGGAACCCTCGGTCATCCTGCCCTACCTTTCCCTGCTACTGCAAAGCCACAAACCATAACCCACAGCCACGCACCCCCACTGCCCAACTTAGGGCGGGGAGTTATTTGCTCTAACCCCTTCCCCAGTGAAAGAGAAGTTAACCACAGTCATCATCGAGTGATCTGGACATTGGCATCCTTTATGTAGTGGAGCAACTGCAGTGTGGCATGGTCCAAACTTGGTATGCTATACTAAATTACTAAGTTTCTCTCTGATGTAAAGCACTGAGAGTTAACCCCACACACCAACTGGAAAAAAATAAGCCCCCAACCCTCTGTTCAACACATCAATGTGCGAAATAAAAGGGACAGAGAAGTTGTTGATCAGGGTGTTCCACTAGTGGGCTATTTTCACCCTATAAAAAGCCATTTGGCACCAATCGGTCCACCAGACCCAAGATGGACCACCATTCTCGGTGTGTTTAGTTATGGGCTATTCACATCCGTGAAATGTGGGATGAACTTCTGATAGTAACAAGCCAATCCCATCTTGTCCACATGAGAGGATATTCGCCCACTTCCCAAGGGCAGTGCACCTGCCTCTGTCCAATCCTGCACTTCTTCAGGCTGGGAATAAGTCCAGCTTGCTTCAAGGGCTCCAGCACTGTGCTTACCCACTGTACATGCTATGCTCAGGTTTTTCTGTGGCTGATCATTTAATCTTCGTAGAAAGTAGCATTTGTAGTATTGGGATGCAACAGGCCGGGGCACCAAACCAAGGCATTTTTTCCTTGTACTCTGGAGATAAGAAAATCTGCCAGTAAGGCCTTGGTTAAATCCAGTGTCATGAAAAATTGAGCGGTGCCCAATTGTTCAAGGAGCTCATCAATCCAGGGCATGAGGTAGGCAGCAAACTGTAAACCAGCATTCACCTTGGGATAGTCAACACAGAACCTTATAGACCCATCCCTCTTCATGACAATAACAATAGGACTACACCAGGCACTATTACTCCTACTACCTTCATTTCCAGATTTAGTTTAAATTCTTTCAGAACTACTTTTTGTGTTCTGGCAATCTATAAAGTCTTGACCAAACCGTCACCATTGGGAAGTCTTAACATGATGTTGTATGAAATTATTGTAACCTGGAAGATGCAACTTGGCAACACATGCCTTCTGGGCTGATTAAAAAAGGTAGTTAGAAAGGACTCATCTCAGCTCTGTCATTCATCTGGCATTTCTTGCAGAAATATTATGGTGCTTTGCTTTGTAATATCGAATTGCACAGTCCACCTGAACTTATCACAAATGGCTTGATGAAACGACCCAGTGAAATCCATGCCAGTTTGTTCAAACATGACCTCCATAAGTGGTAAAGAGCACAAAGGTGCTTTTGGAATGTGAGCTGGATTTATGTGGTTAAGTGTGCACATGCACCCAAATATGTGGCCAATGGGATCGGGCTACTGGCATTTTACCGTTGTACCTATTTTACATTGATGCTACTGCATATCAGTAAATATCCCCATTTACACACTTAAAATGTGTGAACCAGATCCCTTTGAGTCAGGGACTGAATGTAGTCTGAATCTATCATGTCACAATGTATATCCCCTTTGCATTTTGATCAGAACACTGTTTGGTGCCCCCCTGACTGGGAAAAGGTGTTGGAAGTGACCTGTACCACCGCCACCTATGAGGGCACTTATTTTTAGAAGTGACAGGGTCACTCCATGCTTGCAGCACTCTTGCCCAAGGCAAGCTGGGTGCAGTTCCAGCAAGCAACTGGACTCATGGCAGTAAAGCAGGGACAGTGACTTTAGGTCCAGTCCATGGTATTAGATGGGTAGCCTGGTTTGCTTCAGTGTGTTCCCCTATATGCACAGCAAGGTGGTTCTTAGCCAAAATGACGACCTGCTAAGAACCACCTGCCTTCGAGCTCACTGGCCTGTGACATCTCATTTACTCATCTCAATCCCTCACAAACTGTTCCGTGATGACCAGCTCCTGTAGCTGTTGTTGTCCAGCTGCCTTCCCTGTTTGCAGCTACCACATAGCCGCATCTTTCAGCTGCTGGACGTAGGCAGAAGGGTGGTCGGCAGGCCCCAGCTCGGTGCTCATGAAGTGATGATTTTCAGACATGTCCAAAAAGGACTATGGATCATCTGTGACAGTCATTTTGTGTTGCAAATTTACACTCAGATGTCTTTAGTTGGTAGAAAAATACTCTTATGTATGGCAAACTGGCTGTCACACTGAATTGTGTCACATTTGTATACAAGACAAAGATAAATCAAGTAAATGCAAAATGCAGTTTTATATGATGATTTCATTTATTAAGGGAAAAACCAATCCAAAGCTACCTGGCACTGTGTGAAAAAGTAATCCCCCTCAATAAATCACAAATTAACTGTGAATAACAACATTTTATGGAAAGACAACTTCAATGTAACTTATGGAAGCCCATTTCCGCCACAAAAAAAGTATCCATAACTCTAAATTTTGAGTTGTTAACTCAAAATTTTGACTTGTTTTCTTAAAGTTTCAACTGATTAACTTGAAATTTTGACCTACTAACTCGAAATTTTGAGAAAAGTAACTCGAAATTTTGGATTACAGGCTTCCATAGTCACTAGTGACACCCAGGCCCGATTATTGTCAGACCCACTGAATCACAAAGTCACTTAAATAGAACCTGTCTGACAAAGTGAAGTAGGTAGAAAGAACCCAAAAAAGGACACATCATTTCACGATCTAAGCAGAAAAGAAACAAAAACATCTATCAGTCTGGAAAGTACTACAAATTAATTTATGGTTAAAATTTTATTTGTGAAGAAGTTTATGACGTCGTTACTACTTAACATTAAAGGGATGGTTGGCTCAACAGAGCTCTGACTTTTTGTCGGCCTGGCTACAGTGCTGAAGAGAAACCTGGGGTTGTTCTTATTTTCTTCAATCAGTGATGAATAGTAAGATGTTCTAGCTTTACAGAGGGCTTTCTTATAAAGCAGCAAACTTTCTCCAGGCTAAACGATTGTCTTCTAAATTTGTGACAGCTTAAGAGTTATCTGCTTTAGCTACGTGTTTGAGAATTATTCAAGGGAGTCAAGTACTTCTGATTTGAGGCACTATTTTTCGCAGGAGCTACAGTAACCAGTGTCATACGTAGTGAGGAGGTAAAATTATTAACAAGATAATCTGTGGATGTAGCGTTCAGGTACTCTTTGTGATTCTAAGTAATTTTTTTCCTGATTTTTAGGGTTTTTTTTGTTTGGGAGCTGACACAGTCTCTAAGGGGATGGGGTTTTGGGGGGATAACAAGAGGAGAGAAGCCACAAAGAGTTGTGTAGGACTGCAACTTTGCTTCCTGGTGCCGAATGAAATCATCATTTAAAAAATTAATATTTACTGAAATGAACTTTGTCTAATACTAACATTGTTTGATGATCTGAAACATTAAAGTGTGACAAAATGTGAACCGCATATCAAAAATGATGGGTTGCTATTATGCCATTCTATTCATCTTTTGTCATAGATCTGATTGCAGCTATAGTCTCCCTGTATTTCAGCCTAAAAACATTGTTGTATAAATCGGCCTTCATATTTAAAGTACAAACATTCCTAGCATGTCAAATGCTCACAGAATCACAATCTGAGGGAGCTTCACTTGTAGTGTAAATGCCTGTGAGGAGCAATGACTATATCTCTAATATCTCAAATGATACCCTGTTCTCTGTATTGCAGGTAGAGAATTTCTTCTGCATGGGGTCTCCTCTGGCTGTATTCTTAGCATTGCGAGGAATCCGTCCTGGAAACAATGGCATGCAGGACCACATCCTTCCAAAATCTATCTGCAATCGCCTCTTTAACATATTCCACCCTACAGACCCTGTGGTGAGTCATTCGTTTCAGTTCAGTTTTATTTATACAGCGACAATAACAACAGTCGCCTAAAAGCACTTTATATTGTAAGTAAAGACCCAACAACAATACAGAGAAACCTCAAAAATCAGATGACCCCCTATGATCAAACACTTCGGTGACAGTGGGCAGAAAAAAAGGCTCAGGGAGGGGCGGCCATCTGCTGCGACCAGTTGGGGTGAGTGTAAGAAGACAAGTTGAAGACAGGCCGTGGAAGAATTCCACAGATTAGAAATTAAAAGTCACACCCATTTCTTTTCTCATCAAGGTGCCCTGGTTCCTCAACAGCTGATGTGGACCATGTCAGGCAAATTATATATATATATATATATTAGGGGTGCAACAATATACAAAATTCGCGGTTCGGTTCTATCTCGCTAGCTTGCGCTGCGCTCAGTGGATCTGCACTCGACAGTGCAGCCTAGGCGGAGTAGTTGAACGCAGATCCACTGAGCGCTCAACACAGACAGCATCGTCAG